ATACTGCATGTTTTCACTCATAAGTGGGAGTTGAACAATGAGAACATGTGGACACAGGGAGGGGAACATGACACACCAGGGCCTGTGGCGTGGGGGAGGGGCAAAGAAAGGTATAACATTAGGAGAAATACCTAATGTAGATGACAGTTCTACATCATATCACCATGGCACGTGTATACCTATGTAACAAACCTGCACATTTTGCACATGTACCCCACAACTTAAAGTATCATTTTTAAAAAAGCAAAAAAACAAACCAAAAAAGACAGTGCATGTTTCTGATCATAAGTGTTCATTAAGAATAAAGCTTAAATTTCTTATTTTAATTAACACAATTTTCTTTCTATACAATATCTACAACCATAGCACTTAATGTACTACATGTATTACCTTAAGAATATTTGTGTTTTTCACTGAAAACCCATAAAATACTTTCTTCAACGTTTGAAAAATGTATATTAAACATATTTTTCTAATTTTTCATGAGTTTTTTGCATCATTTTGAATAACTTTTTTCCAAATGATTTCAGACTGCCATATAGAGTATCTGAAGTATATGACTCCTTCTTTCATTTATTCTGTGATTCATTTTACTTAAGTATTGTAATAAGTGCTAGAAATACCATAAGAAGTACAGCTCTGATCCAGAAGAATTTATACTCCAATGTTATATTTGGGTAAAAATAAAACAAGCAATTATAGCATAGTACTATCTAGAATTGTAAGGGATCTGAGATTCTACCCTACTTGCAAACTAACTAGTTAGCCTGCCACAGTTTCATAGATGCTGACACAAGGCACAAGATAGCTAGGTCAAAGAGAAATACAAACTTCTTGTTATCACTTCATTAAAATAAAATAAAGTGACTTTTCTGTTTGTTTTTACTTCCTCCTCTACTTTTCTTCTGTTTTCTGTAAAGCAGTATTTTTTTTGGAAGGATTATATGTAATTGGTATATCTAATTATGCTCCTTTTCTCTCCAAACTCATTTCATTCATATCTTCACCACTCCACTGGAAGGATTATCTGTAATTGGTGTATCTACTTATGCTCCTTTTCTCAAGGCCACCAATGATATCCATATTGCTAAATCCAGTGGTTAATGGGAGGGCTCATCATGCTTGACCTAGCAGCAAAATTTGACACAGATGAGCACACTCATTTCCCATTTTCTTCTTTTTTCTGTCAGAGTACTCTTTTCTTTGTACCTTTCTATTTGTTATCATTTTTAGCCTTTTCTTAAAGTAATGAGAAAGAACATGCAATCCAGAAATCTGTACAAAATAAAAAGGTAGTGCTCATTGATTTATCACAAAGTGAACATTCATGTAACAACCACTCATGCAAAGAAATAGTTATCACCAATACCTCAAAAATTCCCCTTCTTCTCCTTCCCATCCATTATTTTTCACCTGTCTCTAAAAAGAAGCCAATTTTAGTAATCATTTTCTTTTCTTTATAATTTAGTTTGACCTAATCTATTAAAAACTTTATATATAAAGGAATTGCTCAATGCATATGTTTTATGCCTGACTTCTTCAAGTCAACATTATATTTGTGAGATTTAACCATGTTGCTGCATGTATATTTAGCTCATTTGTTTCATTGCTATATAACATTCCACTGTGTATGAATATGCAATTATTTATCTATTTCATTATTGCTGGACTTTTGAGTTGCTGATAGTTTTTGCAATCAGAAATAATACTGCTAAACAATCTTGTACCCATCTTTTTATGTAATTGTACATATGTTTTTATTGGGTATATAGTTAGGAGTGGAATTTCTGGGTCCTGGGATATGCATATATTCAGCTTTGGTAGATAATACCAAAATGTTTTTCACAATGATTTATCAATTTATCCTCACATCATCAATGTATGAGAACTCCCATTTTTCTTCCCCAAACCTGATATTGCTAGTTTTAAAATTTTAGCTATAGCCTTTTGATAAACAGTGGTTTTAATTTGCATTTTCCCATTAATGAGGTTGAACGTCTTTTCATATGTATATTGACCATTTGAATATCTTCTTTTATGAAAGCCTTGTTCAGAATTCTTACTCATTTTTCTATTGGGTTTATCTGCTTTTGTGATTTGTGGAGGTTCTTTTCACATATTAGATACAAGCCCTTTTTTGGTTATGTGTGTTGCAAATATTTCCTCCCACTTTGTAGTTTACTTTTGCACTGAGTATTGTGGGCTAGATGCTGTTGGTGTGCTACCCACATTGTCTTGGTATTCACTTTTGTGCAGGAAGACTTCTTGCTTGAAAGCAGCTGAGACTCTTTCTGCAGACTTTCTCTGGCCATAAGAGAGGCTGGAGGGTATTAGAGAATTGATACCCTGGCAGCAGCTTTTAACCAATACTGAGTAAGAGTTGATGAATAAATACCCCATTTTCCTTACCTCTGATGATAGCTTCTGAAACTTACTCTATGCCATCGCTCAGATGTCTCCATCTCTCAGATGGAGACAATTAGAACATAGATGGAGACATCTGAGAGTTGGAGACAATTTGGTAACTTGATCATTAATGTCACCTGTATTGATACCCTTTTCTTCTCTGTCTTACTTCCTCACTGCCTTGCCTGTTTTTTCTGGAATTACTTTTTTAAATAAATTATTTGCTCTCAAATTCTAGTTTCTCACAGTTGGCTTTTGGAGAACCTATCTTGAGTTAGTAATATCTTTTGACGAATAGAAATTCTTAATTCAAATGGATCTAGTTTATCAGTTTTTTCCTTCATAGTGTTTGCTATGTCCTGCATAATAAGTATTTACCTACTCTAATGTCTTCATTGTACTATGGAATTTTAATTTATGCAGGTGATTGAATGATAACTTGGAGACACTAATGCCATTGTTTATTACTTATAGTTACCAAGAGGAGAGAGCATGCCAGGCAGGACCACTTGGGGAAGTACTAGGATTGGTCGAGAGGCAGAAGGAGCAAGGAGAAACATGGGCAAAAAATCCTTATTACTGCAGTGCCAGGAAGTTGCTAGGTATAGATAGCGCCTATTGGGCAGGAAGTAAAACACAGATATTGAAGTTGTGATTAGAGGGTTTGTAATATGATTTTCACATGCCCATAAAAGCCAGACTGTAAGGGAGATATAAACAACTTTAGCTGTTAGTTTCAGAGTGTGATTAATGGATGCCAAATCATCAATTACAAAATCTGCAAAAGTTATTTAGCACACATTAGGCCATGAAGATATTCTTCTTTATTAATTCCAGATATTTATTGTTTTACCTTTTGTATTTAGATCTACAATCCATCTGGAATTAATTTTTGTGTGTAGGATGAGGGAAGGGCAATGCTTCTTTTTTTTTCCCATATGGATTCATAATTCTACTGGTACTGTTTATGGAAAAGACACTACTTTCCCCACTGTTCTGCAGTTAACCTTTGACATAAATGAAGTACCCATATATATGCTTGGGTCAGTTTCTAGACTGGATTCTCTGTTCTTATGTCAATACCATCATTTCTTAATTACTTAAATTTTATTAGAAGTCGACATTCATTACAGTTAGTCTTTCCACCTTTTTCTTCTTCAGTGGTGTGTTAGCTATTATTGGAATTATCCCCTCATCCTTTTTTGAGACAGGGTTTCACTTTGTCACCCAGGCTGGAGTGCAGTGGTGTGATAATGGCTTACTGCAGGCTCAACCTCCTGGGATCAAGTGATCCTCCCACCTCAGCCTCTGAGTAGCTGGACCACAGGCATGTGCTACCACACCCAGCTTATTTCTTAAATTATTTTTATAGAGGCATGTTTTGCTCTGTTACCCAGGCTGGTCTCAAACTTCTGGACTCAAGTGATCCTCCTACCTTAGACTCCCAAAATGCTAGGATTACAGACATGATCCATTGCACCCAACATAAATTATTCTCCTTTAGTGATAGTGATGATAGTTGTTTTATGTTTAGTGAATTTTATTTATTTTTAATCTTCCAGTTAGTTTCAGAGATCCATTGTAAGAGAACATGACATATCCCATTTTGGGGCTAACAACATTTATTATGGTATTTTTTCTAAATTGATGCGTATGGTCACAGAACAGTCCAGGTATTGTGCAGAGGGGCTATAGACCAGGGTACCTCAAAAAGAAACATCTGGCTGGGCACGGTGGCTCATGCCTGTAATCCTAAAACTTTGAGAGGCCGAGATGGGTGGATCACCTGAAGTCAAAAGTTTGAGAGCAGCCTGGACAATATGGTGGGCCAGGGAAACCCCATTTGTATAAAAAAAAAAACCAAAATGGAAAAGGAAAAAAAGAAACATTTTCATATCAAGTACGTTATGTTATAATTGTGGTATCCTAAAACTCCACTTCATCTTTCAGTATTGGTAAATTAGTCCAGGTATAGGAACATTCCTCATTTCTCTAGGTTTGGTACCATTCCTCAACTCTAGAGTGCAATTTAATTTATATAAAGTTTATTAATAAAATTTGGAGTGTTGATGTGGCTTTATTTTGAAAAACTATAATTAAGACTTGTAGAGTTATGAAAATAGTTTTACTTGCACAAACAGGAACCAAGGAGGGAAATCCATGTTGTTTTGTAACTATCTGGGAGGTTTGGATTCAACCTCTTAAAATATCATCTATGTACAAATACTCATTGTGCCTTTTTCAGTTAATCTTAGTCTTTTGGTGCTGCTCAGGATGAAACTGCATCTTCTTTTGCTATTCAGTTTAAATTGAACCCAAGAGATTGAAATATAAATGAAAATTGGATACAATGAGATAAATTCTTCTCATTTTCAGACTTTTGGGAAACTAGTGTACTAGGTTTATTATGGTGGATCAATAACCTTTTTATCATTCTTTAGGCTTGCCTTGTGGCTAGGCTGATATATATATATATATATATTATATATATATATAAATGGAATATGCAAAGAGTAAGAATGTTCAAGATGAAAACCCATTATTATATTAAATATTTACATTGTCCATTCAAATTTGGGTTTTTATCTTAACAGGTCAATGCTGCTGAATCAAAGATAACAAATTTAATATGCTTAAAACATACCTTGGAACTTGTGGATCCTTTAAAGGTAATTTATATGTGTGTGTATCATACAAAACATTTTTTAAATAATGTTTTTTAATTTAAAATTTTTTAAATAATGTTTTAAAAACAGTATTATTTTTTAACTTTTTGTTGACAAAAAATTTCAAACTCAGGGAAAGTTGCAAGAATAACATGGTGAATTCCCCATATATTTTCTCTGTGTACATACTTTACACACACATACACATTATTAGCCTTATTACGCTTATTGAAGCATTTGAGAATAAATTGCAGTACCTACTGATGCAATATTATTCTAAAATCAATGGGTGAAAGTTTGATGAGGATCAGGTTATTTACACATTCTCATATCTCATTCTCATATCAAATATGCAATACCATTTTATAATATGTATCCCATACTCAATTTTTAAAATTGTCCTAATAATGTTCTTTATAGCATTTATTTCCTGATATAGGGTTCAGTCAGGATCATACATTATATTTTATGTCATTTTTAGAAAACTCCTTTGAAGTGGAAAAGTTTCTCAGCCTTTTGTTCATGATACTGACATTTTGAAGCATAAGGTCAATTTTTAAAATAGAAATTCCTCAATGTTTGTGATTGCTTTCTCCTGATTAATTTCATCTATGCATATTTGGCATTAATACTCTATGATGTATCCTTTTTAGTACATCACATCAGGAGGCACATAATTCCATTTCCTCATACTTGGTGATGTTAACTTTGATAAATTTCTTCACCATAAATTCAGATTTTCTTTTGTAGTTAATAAGTTACTAATCTATGGAGAGTTATTTTGAGAATATATAAATAACCTGATACTCATCAAACTTGCACCCATTTAATTGATGACTCTTATCTGAAGTAATTATTAATCTGATGGTTACAAGATGTCTCTTTAACTTTTAAATACTGCTACACTGTGTAAAACTTATTTTTATTAAAGTGATAAAGGAACTGTTTTTGAAAAAGAATGAAAAATATATTATCATTTTGTTATAGAGATTATTCTAATAAATATTAACATGTTTGGCTGTGTCCCTACCCAAATCTCACCTTAAATTGTGAGAATCCCCACATGTCAAGGTGGGGGGGACCTGGTGGAGATAATTGAATCATGGGGGTGGTTTCCCCCATACTGTGTTTTTGGTAGTAAGTCTCATAAGGTCTGATGGTTTTATAAAGCGGAGTTTTCTTGCACATGTTCTTCTTGCCTGGTGCCATTTAAAATATAACTTTGCTCCTCATTTGCCTTCTGCCATGATTGTGAGGCCTCCCCAGCCACGTAAAACTGTGAGTCAATTAAACATTTTTCCTTTATAAATTACCCAGTCTCAGGTATGTCTTTATTAACAGCTGAGAATAGTGTGATAGAGTCAATTTTACCAGTAGGGTGGGGTGCTACCATAAAGGTACCTGAAAATATGGAATTGACTTTGGAACTGGGTAACAGGAAGGGGTCAGAACAGTTTGGAGGGCTTAGAAGACAGGAAGATGTGTGGGAAAGTTTGAAACTTCCTGGAGACTTGTTGAATATCTTTGACCAAAATGCTGATAGTGATACGGACAATAAGATCCAGGCTGAGGTGGTTTCAGATGGAGATGAGGAACTTTTGGGAACTGAAATAAAGGTCACTCTTGCTATGTAAAGAGACTGTCAGCATGTTATCCCTGGCTCGAGGTCTGTGAAACTTTGAACTTTAAAGAGATGATTTAGGGTATCTGGGGGAAGATATTTCTAAACAGTGAAGCATTCAAGAGGAAGTGCAACATAAAATTTTGGAAAATTTGTAGCCTGAGGATGCAATAGAAAAGAAAAACCTATTTGCTGGAGAGAAATTCAAGCTGGCTGCAGAAATTTGCATAAGTAACAAGGAGGCAAATATTAATCACTAAGACAATGGGGAGAATGTCTCCAGGCCATGTCGGAGACCTTTGTGGCAGCCCCTTCCATCACAGGCCCAGAGGCATAGGAGGAAAAAATGGTTTTCTGCCCCCCCCCCCCTTGCTGTGTGCAGCCTAGGGACTTGGTGCTCTGTATCCCAGCTGCTCCAGTTATGGCTAAAAGTGGCCAAGGTACAGCTTGGGCTATGGCTTCTGAGGGTGTAAGCCCCAAACCTTGGCATCCTCTATGTGGTGTTGAGCCTGCAGGTACACAGAAGAATTGAGGTTTGGGAGCCTCCACCTAGATTTCAGAGGATGTATGGAAATGCTTGGATGTCCAGGTAGACGTTTGCTTCAGGGCCAGGCTTCTCATGGAGAACCTCTGTTAGGACAGTGTGGAAGGAAAATGTGGGGCACATGCCCTCATACAGAGTCCACACCAGGGCATTGCCTAGTGGAGCTCTGACAAGAGGGCCACCGTTCTTCCTACTCCAGAATGGTAGAGCCATCAACAGCTTGCACTGTGCACCTGAAAAAGCACAGACATTCAATGCTAGCCTTAAAAGCAGCTGTGGGGTGTGGGGTCTGTACTCTACAAAGGCACAGGGGCAGAGCTGCCCAAGGCTATGAGAGCCCACTTCTTGCATCAGTGTGACCTGTGATCTCTTCTGCATGGAATCAAAGGAGATCGTTTTGGAGCTTTAAGATTTGACTGTCCTGCTGGATTTTGGACTTGCATGGGGCCTGTAGCTCCTTAATTTTGACGAATTTCTCCCATTTGGAATGGGTGTATTTACCCAATTCCCGTACCCCAGTTGTATTGTAAGTAACTAACTTGCTTTTCAGTTTTACAGGCTCATAGGCAGAAGTGACTTGCCTTGTATCAGATGAGACTTTGAACAGTGGACTTTTGAGTTAATGCTGAAATGAGTTAAGACTTTAGGAGACTGTTGGGAAGGAATGATTGGTTTTGAAATGTGAGGACATGAGATTTGGCAGGGGCCAGGGGAAGAATGATATGGTTTGGTTGTGTCCCCACCCAAATTTTGCCTTGAGTTGTAATAATCACCACATGTCAAGGTCAGGGCCAGGCGGAGATAATTGAATCATAGGGGCAGTTTCCCTCATAATTTTCTCCTGGTAGTGAATGAGTGTCTCAAGAGCTGTTGGTTTTATAAAAGGAGTTCCCCTGCACATGTTCTTTCTGCCCGCTGCCATGTAAGACATGACTTTGCACCTCATTCACCTTCTGCCATGATTGTGAGGCCTCCCCAGCCATGTGGAATTGTGAGTCAACTAAACCTTTTTCCTTTATAAATTACCCTGTGTCAAATATGTCTTTCTTAGAAGCATGAGAACAGACTAATACAAATATATATAGTTAAAGTAACGTGGCAAAAGACTTCAAAAATGTTATTACCTTTCTTGTAATGAAAGAGGTAGAATAAATCACCAGGAAAATATTGAGAGATTTTATGAAACACAAATTTTAAACTTTGGTATGTAAAAGGCAAAGATAGGAAAAATTTATAAAAAAATGACAGTGTATTAGTCTGTTTTTGTACTGCTAAAAAGAACTCCAAAGACTGGGCAATTTATAAAGGAATTGCCTTTATAATCAATATTTAATTGATTCATAGTTCAGTATGGCTGGGGAGGACTCAGGAAATGTATAGTCATGGCAGAAGGAGAAGGGGAAACAAGACACCTTTATTAAAATGCAGCAGGAAGGAGAAGGAGTGCAGGAGGAACTACCACATACTTATAAGACAATCAGATCTCATGAGAACTCACTCACCATCATGAGAACAGCATGGGGGAAACGGTCCCCATGACTCAATTACCTCCACCCAGTCACTCCCTGGACAAGTGGGGATCATGGGAATTATAGGGATTACAATTCATGATGACTTTTGGGTGGGGAGACAAAGCCTAACCATATCAGACAGACAAAATACTAATTTCTATCATCACAAAACTTATGTAATTTCATAGGAAAATATTGAAATCCCAATCAATGGAAATATGGAAAATGACACAAGGAAGGAAATAAAGGTGATTAATAAATGTTACCAAAAATGTTAACCTCATTGTTAATGGAAGCAATGCAAATTAAAACCATAGTTTTATATCTGTCAAAGGCACAGACATTTTTGTTTATCTTAATGGATGTAACTCGTTTCTAATTAGAGATCTATGAGACAGACAACTTATTAAACAGCTGGTAGGAATACAAATTTCACACACTTTACAGGAAATTGTACTGGAAATGTTTGTAACATATATCTTTTGATCCTGTAATACTGCTTCTAGAGATTTCTCTGAAAGAAATTTTCAGAAATGTTAGCCAGTACTTATGTCCAACAGTGGTCATTACAGTATTATTTATGTCAGTGAGAAATTATAAGTAGAGTAGAACTTCAATAGTTAGAGGAAGAGACTATTTGCTTTCCACAGAGTAGGATATTATTAAACATTTTTGCCTTGAAAATTTTTTCATATGTATTATATTGCATAAGTTAAGCATCCCTAACCCAAAAGTTGAAAATTTTAAATGTTCTAGATTCTGAAACTTTTTGAGTACCAATGTTATGTCACAAGTGGAAAATTTTACATCTTGACCTTATGTGATGGGTTACAATCAAAATGCAGGTATTCAGCACAGTCTATTCAGCATCCTCAAGGGAGAAAAGACCCTCCCAGCTCCTTTTAGTTATAGTATATCATTTCTGTGCACTCCCAGATTCTTATATGCAAATATGCCCACAAAGGGTAACACAATGACCCAGGGTCAGTTGTGCCAATGGCAGGTTTCCATGATGCCCCACGTAGGACCCAGATGGATGTGCATTACTGCTTTTTGCTTATTATCTGCTTGGTCTAGTGGTAAGGATAACAAAAACAAAACAAAGAAAATGTCAAAAAGGCCTGCAGATACCCCTATGAGTAACAGTGATAAGAAAAAGAAGAATCACTTATATTTGTATGTAACAGAGAAAGTCAAGCTATTGGAGAAACTGGACAATGTTTTAAGTGTGAAGGTCTTAAAGAAGCGTATGCTTCTTGGGATGACTGTCAGATATGACCTAAAGAAACAAATGGATAAACTATTGGAGTTCTATGCTGAAAGTGATGAATGGAAGCTAATGAAAAATAGAAAAACACTGCATAACATTTAAAAAAAGGGAAAGAAAGAATGGATCCATCTGCCTCACAGTGAACACATGCCACTTAATGGTATACTGATCATGAAACAAGTGAAGATTTATCACAATGAAATGAAAATTGAAGGGATCTGTCAATATTCAACAGGCTGATAGCAGAAATTTAAGAAGAAAATGACATTAAATGTTTAAAGATTTATGGTGATTGAGCATCTGCTGATCATGAAGCATTAGAGAAATTCATTGATGAGTTTGCCAAGGTCATTGCTGATGAAAATCTGATGCCAGAATAAGTAGATAATGCTGACTAAACATCATTGTTTTGGCATCATTGCCTCAAAAACACACTGACTACAGCTGCTGAGGCAGCCCCTGTGGGAGTTCAGGATGCCAAGGACAGAAAATAACAATGCTGGGCTGTGCTAGTACAGCAGGTACACATAAGTGTAAACTTGCTATGTTAGGTAGAAGCTTGTGTCCTCACTGTTTTCAAGGAATGGATGAATTTCTTACCAGTTTATTGTTGTGCTAACAAAGAGGCCTGAATCACCAGGGATTTTTTTTTCCAATTGGTCTCTCAAACATTTTATACCAGTGGCTCATGCTCATTGCAGGGAATCTGGATTGGATGATGATTTAAATATTTTATTATTCCTTGACAACTCTTCTGTTAATCCTCCAGCTGCAGTTTTTGTAAAAAATAATATTTATTCCATTTGCTTTCCCCCAAACGTGACTTCATTAATTCAGCCATGTGACTGTGATAAGAGTATTCTTAGATCGTTGAAGAGTAAATATAAACTTTTTTTTATTTTTTATTTTAGCTTTGGGAGTACATGAGCAAGTCTGTTATGCAGGTATACTTGTGTCATGGGAGTTTGTTCTACAGATTATTTCACCACTCAGGTACTAAGCCTAGTGCCTAACAGTTGTTTTTTCTGCTCCTCTTCCTCGTCCCATACCCATACTCCACCTTCAAGTAAGGGGCCTTATCTGTTGATCCTATCTTTGTGTCCATGAGTTTTCATCATTTAGCTCCCACTTTTAAGTCAGAACATGTGACATTTGATTTTCTGTTCCTGCATTAATTTGCTAAGGATAATGACCTCCAACTTCATCCATGTCCCTGCAAAAGGCATGATCTTGTGCCCAGGCTCGAGTACAGTGACACAATCATGGCACTCTGTACCCTTGAAAACTTAGGCTCAAGTAATCCTCCCACCTCAGTTTCCTGAGTAACTGGGAGTACAGGCATATGCCACTGTGCCTAGCTAATTTATAAACAAGTTTTTATGGACAGGGGTCTTGCCATGTTGCCCAGGCTGGTCTTGAACTCCTGGCCTCAAGCAATCCACTTGCCTCATCCTCCTGAGTCACTGGGATTACAGGTATGAGTCACCGCACATGACAATGGAAAGTTTTCAAAGGGAGTTTAGTGTGAAGAATGCCATATATGCTGTTGCCAGTGCTTGGAACATAGTTACTAAAGACATGGTTGTGCATGCCTGGCACAACCTCTGGCCTGTGATGCTGTTCAATGATGATGATAAAACAAGGTGGTGACTTGGTAGGATTCCATATGTCAAGTGAGAAAAAAACTATGTCTGACCTCCTAAAGTATGCAAAATATATACTTTCAGAGTCTGTCAGTAAGCTGGAAGAAGTGAGTGTTCAAGTTTGTATGTATGCATGTATGTATTTATGTATGTATTTATTTTTTGAGATGGGGTCTCATTCTGTCACCCAGGCTGGAGTGCAGTAGTGTAATCTCGGCTCACTGCAGCCTCTGCATCCTGGGCTCAAGCCATCCTCCTACCTCAGCCTCCCAAGTAGCTGGGACCACAGGCATGTACCACCATGTCCAGCTAATTTTTTGTATTTTTGTTAGAGACAGGGTTTCATTGTGTTGGCCAGGCTGGTCTCGAACTCCTGAGCTCAAGCCCTTTGCCCACCTTGGCCTCCTAAACTGGTGGGATTACAGGCGTGAGCCACTGCGTCCGGCCAATTGACATTTTTAACATCAATAATGAGGCCCTAGCTATTCATTCATCAATAGATGATGAATATAAAAAAAATGGTTCTGGTTTAAGGTGATCATGGCAATAATGATGATGAAGATGATGTTGTAACACTGCAGAAAAAGCGCCTATAGACATGGTGAAAATGTGTGATGGGCTTATTGAAGATCTAGAGTTTTTATTAAGCACAATAAAATTCTTATCTTTACCATATAAGAATGGAGAAGCACACATTCATAACAGAACAAGAAATCATGTCAGTTATAAAATCAAAGAGAAATTTCTATGACAAAAAACATTATTAATGAGTCAGATGACTCTGGAGGAAACATTTTTAAAAGCTGTCCAGCAAAATGCCTCTGTATCCTTAGAATACCTACTTCCTGGTCCCTTAACTGTTTCTGATGTTCCATTTCACCTAGAAAAATACAGTACACTTTGCCGTAATCTCTTAATCAAAACATAGCATCATAGGTAGATACTGAAAATTGTTAGTTGTTGCTGTCATTTAAGAGCTGATGCAGGTATTCTGGGAGTGCTACTGTGCTGTTACTTTGAGCACATTTTTTTACTGGATTAATGGTATGTCACTTTTTTTACTGTTAAGTACTTATGGGTAAATAAGTGTTAAAAAATGATTGCTTATTGGTAGCATACAAATTCAGAGTAGGAATGATAGTATGCCAAACAATCACATTGTCCACATAAGTGACTGAAATAGTGACACCTTTGCTTTCTGATGATTCAATGTACACAGACCTTTTCTTTTTTTGAGACAGAGTTTCACTCTTTTTGCCCAGGCGGGAGTGCAAGGCGCGATATCTGCTTACTGCTACCTCCCCTATCTACCCACTGCAGGTTCAAGCTATTCTTCTGCTTCAGCATCCCCAGTAGCTGGGATTACAGGCTTTTATGCACAAAATTATTTAAAATGTTGTATAAAATTACCACAGTGTATGGTATAAGATGTATATGAAACAAACGAATTTCATGTTTAGACTCAGGTTAAATCTCCAAGATATCTCATTATGTACATATGCAAATATTCAAAAAATATGGAAAAAATCCAGAATCTGAAGCACTTCTGACCCCAAGGATTTCAGATAATAAATACTCAACCTGGATTAAGTCAGAGTCATGGGAAGGAGCACACAATTATAAAAAATTATTTATTTCAGATACTGACAGAAAAGATACTATATTTAGAATGTTTATCTTTAGAATGATAGATTTAATTTTTTTCTTTATGTTTTGGTAAATTTTTAGTTTTATCTGTGTGTATTGTTTTCTATTCATAAGCAAAAAAAATGTTGTTACCATTGCTTCATATCAGACTAAAAATGTGGGTAATGGTCGGGCTAAATGTGCTTTTTTCTCTTCTTTTCTGTTTATTTAGTTAGTGACCCCTCATGGTTTTCGTTAAGCAAAATAAAATTTCTATTTTTACTATTTAAGAATGGAGAAATTGCTCTATTTATGAATATACAGAGCACCTTTTTGGTTTAATGTATATCTAACCTAAATTTTGGAATTATATGTAGTGTACTCTAAATGTACAATAGTAGTTGTTTAAGTACCTATTTCTACAAGTCATCAGATGTTAACAATTAGTAGGGAGGCAAGAAAAATAAAAGTTCTAATAAGCAGTGGATGGCACTCATTAGCCATGTACTCTTTATCTGAAAAAAGAGAAAGATATTATCTGTCCTCAGCTACATGGCTAAAATATATTTCATGAGTATATAAATGAGGAAATGAAGTTTCCTTGTTTATATAGGAAATGAAGTTTCCTCGTTTATATAGGAAATGAAGTTTCCTATAGTTTACTTGGTAAACTATAAAGTATTAAACAAATGTAAAATGATAACGTTTGAATGATGTTGCAATGATTATTCTTAACTTTTTTATTTTATTCTTTAATAGATTGCTCTGAAGAACTGTAACACACCTTTATTAAGAGCTTACTATGGTTCCTTGGAAGACAAGAGGTCTTTGTCACTCAACTGTTAATAGAAACTAAGATTATTCTCTTCTTCCTGATCATAACTGATTTTAAAGACTCTAGTATGAACAAATATTTGAATGTTGGTTAACAGAATCTTTAACTTAGTCATCAAAATTCTAATTGCACATTTTACCTTAAAAGTACAATAAACAGAATAACAATACATTGATTATTTGTGTTAATGGACAATTTAGAATAGCATGAAAATTTGAAGTCCATGCACAATTTTAATATTTCTTTTTAAAACCATTCTCCATGGAAAGACTTGCAAATAATAAAAATATATTTCTTTATTTTGCTAAATCATGGCAGATCTAATATAACAAAAAAGATACAAATATTAAATACAATCTAAACACAGTTTAATTTTAATAATGTTAAATTATTAGCAGCGGTTGTAGACTGAAGAACTACTGGTTCTTTAGTAGTTTCTTGATTTGTGATACTTAAGAACTATTTTTCTATTAATTGAAGATTTATACCCTGTGTGAGGCCACACATTGAAGTTAATAATAAAACTGGCTTAATTACAAATAAAATATAGAATAGAATGAAGGAAAAGTTGAGGAAAATATGTGTTACCAGATTTCTGGTTTGCATAATCATTTCACTCTGTCACTGATAATTGTGAGGTTCCTGTTAGGCTGTTTTCATATGAGTTTAGTGTCGCTTGCCTCTACTGAAGGCAGGGATCATATGTTATTCTTCTCTGAATCTCTTCACCTAGCATAGTGCCTGATGCATGGTATAAGTTAATGTTTATTGAGTGAATGAGCATGAAGCCAGAATTTTTATAACAGTTCTTTAGAGATATATTTTATACCCACAGGCACATCAGTATATATAATTTAGGAGATCTATTAGCAGATGTAGAATTGTTTTTATGGTCCTGATGCCGTTTTAGACTAGTGCTGTCTGATGAAATAGTTTAAAATTGAAATAATCAGAGCTCTAACTGAAGTAAATTTAAATATTTATTGCTTAATTAGCTATTTCAAAATACATTTCAACAAAAATTTGCTACCTACTGTGATTCAAATGATAAATTAAAATAACTCTTTGATTTATTGCCTATAATATTTTTCTTCTTGACTTAATATTAGGTTTGGAATCATACTTGAAAAGATTAAAACAGTAATTAATGATGATGCAAGATACATGAAAGGATGCCTGAACATGAGGACTCAGAAGTGCTATGCAGTGAGGTCTAACATAAATGAATTTCTTGACATAGCAAGAAGAACATATACAGAGATTGTAGATGACATAGCAGGTAATTTATTTATTTGATAATGCTTTTTATTTTTGTAGGGATGAAACAGACTTTTTAGGACATACTGTTCATCTTTGCTGCTAACTAGCCGTATGTATTTTTAATTTATTTTTTGTTACCAAAACATAAGGTTAGCATGTATTGCCATTTAAGGAAACAGTATATCTTGCAGCCTTCATACTGAACTCCTTTTGAAAAACTTCCATTGCCAGGTGCATTAGCTCATGTCTGTAATTCCAGCACTTTGGGAGGCCAAGGAGGGCTGATAGCGTTTGAGACCAGCCTTGGCAACACAGCTAGTTTTTTGTAGAGACAAAACTTTGTCTCTACAAAAAATGAAAAAATTTGCCATGCATGGTGATGTATGCCTGTAGTTTCAGCTACTCAGGAGGCTGTAGTAGGAGGATCACTTGAGCCCTGGAGGTCGAGGCTGCAATGAGTTGTCATTGTGCTGCTATACTCTGCCTGGGCAACAGAGTGAGACCCTGCCTCAAAAAAAAAATCATCAGAGCTTGAAAGAGTAACAAGACCTCCTATTTAAGTATAAAATAACAATAATTTAAAAACCATATGACTCTTTAAAACAGTTATTTTCTCATTAAAATTTATTCATTTTGTTTTGTTTTTGTTTTTCTTGTTTCTGGTCACCAGGAATGATATCACAGCTTGGAGAAAAATATAATCTTCCTTTAAGGACAAGTTTTAGCTCTGCTCGAGGATTTTTCATCCAGATGACTACAGATTGTATAGCCCTACCTAGTGATCAACTTCCTTCAGAATTTATTAAGGTTCATTTTAGAGTGGTTAGGAAATTATTGTTTCTGATTTTATAGAATTACATCTACATATTTTGGGGACTTCTTGAGTTTTACAAGCCAAAATTCTGAATGTTCTATTTCTTCTCCTATTCATACCCACCTAACTAATATTCTTATCTAAGAGTGACTTAGAAGCTTTTGCAGAAATACCAAACTCAGTGTTTCCCACAGTTCTGGGAGCTTGGTCTAAGAAAAAAAGGAACATGAAGAAAGAACACCCAAAAGCTGTTTATAATAAAAGAAATTGGGAAAATACCACACCATTTGCCTGTTAAATGTTTAAAAGTCCTGAAGTAAAGAAATCTACTTCACTTTTAAAAATCTAATATTTCCAAACCTTTATACCACAGTAATAATTTTTCCTATATAGCTCTTTTACAATATCCAGTTTGCGAGGGTCTGACCCACTCTAACTTTTGTTCTGTTTGCTTCTGGGGGTACTTTTTGATAAGAACAAACCATTTAACTTTCAGGCTTTTAGATATTAAGATTAGAGATTGAGTTGAGGTTCAGATATAGGACAAGGGGTGGGACAGGGGTCAGAGATGGAGTAAGGATCACTTATGTCCATCATGAATGTTACTTGGTAATAAGATGCAGTGTTTTTAATGTTTTAAGACCTACCAGAATAGTCATCCCAGATGAACTAAGTCAAAATATCCTGCTTTTTAAGGATGAATGTATGGGTTGAAAAAAATCTGGCTTTATCCTTTGAAGTGATCTTCCTTTTATGTTTCACAAATGTTATTTAGAACTTTCTTTGTAATACCTTATCTCAAAGATTAAAATTATTAACCTACATATCCATATTTCTGTTGTTTAAAATCTTATGTTATATTTCATAGTAGTGTGAACTTATCTTGATAATTGTTTTTGAATCTCCCAGATTTCTAAAGTGAAAAATTCTTATAGCTTTACATCAGCAGATTTAATTAAAATGAATGAAAGATGCCAAGAATCTTTGAGAGAAATCTATCACATGACTTATATGTAAGAGCATTTGAAGTATTTGAATACTGAATTAAATTGGTTTAATTTGAGAAACTGTGATCAGTTTTATTAGTTGAATTTTTATCTAACTACAGACAATTGTAGAATTATGTATGTTAATAAAGACAGTCTGTCGTTATGATTAGAATCACTGAGCCTCACAGAATTCTCGGGGAAGATCTAATTGTAAACAAATACTATTATAATTGATATTTCTGTAATATGCATTCTACCATGATGTAGAACTTGGCACATTATGGGGTTTACCTGGGCTTCATTCAGTTTATTCTTTTTCTATAGTCTGTAAGCCCTTGGCTTCTTATACCTTGATATTAATAATTCAATAGCAGTATCACAATAGTGTCAGTTGTTTTGCTGGTCATGATATGGTAGCAATACAGCCAGAAAGAAGAAGAAGGACATTTAGAACCCTTACTGGCTCAGATAATAGAAAGGTTGGTCTTTCAAGACAATTTCAAGGCATGTACCACAAACATTTTAATATATTATAAGTTTTGGGTACATATTTATCTTTGCAAGAGGAAAATTTTTTTGCACTATATTACAGTGTAACTCTGCCTTATAAAAACTTAAATAATTATATGATGCAGCTATTGTGTCTGTGTGCATGTGTGTGAGTGAGAGACCAAGAGAGAAGAGGAAAGAAAAAACGGGTGAGAGACAACATGCATATAGCTTTTGTGTGGAACTAAGCATTTGCAAATTCACAAAATGATTAGGAAATGGGATCTGCTCAAGTATAATGAGGGCTTGATTTCACCTATCACATATTTTTATTAATAAAAACTTATTAATATCAGATAAAAGCAGTTACTTCAAAAAATATGTTAATACACCAGAAGATAGGTTCTTTGCCACTAAGTAGCTGTGATCTTGAACAAAAACTTCAATTTCTTTTAAAATGAGATAGTTGAAAAATATCTCTAAAACGAGATAATTGAAAAATAAGCTTTATCTGTAGTATATAACTCAGGTGTGAATATTATTTTACTTCAGCTAATGAATTTAATATTATTTTATAATTACAATGTATGTCCCTTTTGAAAAAATATTATTACATGTCTTACCAAACATGTGTTTTCAGGATAGTGTGCAAACTGCTTAGTGAGATTTATGAACATATTCATTGCTTATACAAACTATCTGACACTGTTTCAATGCTGGATATGCTACTGTCATTTGCTCATGCCTGCACTCTTTCTGACTACGGTAAGTTTCGTTGGAAGAAACATGTTATATACTTAAATTTGTATTCCTTTCAAACAATTTGATATAATAGTTTAGACATTTAAAATTTTTAACTTGAAATGGACTCTCTTGTCTCAGGTCCTAGACTAAGACACAAAATAATTTTTGGGGGGAGAACTAGGGGAGGGATAGTGGGGGGTGGGGAATTGGGGAGGGATAACATGGGGAGAAATGTGAGTTACAGGTGATGGGGAGGAAGGCAGCAAACCACAATGCCATGTATGTACCTATGCAACAATCTTACCCGTTCTTCACATGTACCCCCAAACCTAAAATGCAATAAATTAATAAATAAAGTACAAAATTATTCTGTCAGAAATTGGCAAACCAAAAAGAAAAAAACTGCAAGAAACTAAAGATTCCCCAAATAAGAAAGACTTCAAGAACTGTCTCCTTGGTAAAAATGATAATGATCTAAATTTATAAAGTTCAAATCTGAATACTTATTAGAAGTAGTGGGATAAATATTAATAGAGACAAATGCATCTCCAGAGTGAGCATTTTAATCCACTAGCTCCTTAGATGTGAACATACCAAGATCAGGAGTTATATAATTTATTTTTATATCCCAAGTCTATACCAAGGCCTTGAATATAAATGTTAAGTAATTTTCTCATGTCAAATGAATACTTCGAGTTAGTGCTTTGACATTTCTTATCTAACTTCTCAGTAATAACCATACTCCAGTATGCAAATTTGCTGGACTAATATGTGATAATTACGGTTGAATAATTGTGGACTTCATTACATTAAAAACATAGAAATTTCTAATGTATATCAGCAGTAATATTTCTAAAATGTTATGTTAATTTACTTTTACAGGAAGTATCTTTTAAGATTTTTTCATATTTCTTATGGAAATATTAACTTTTTTTACTGGTATTTTATAGGCCAAAACTTTTCAAACTTTTTTGTCTCCTTTGAGTCAAAACTCTACTTTAGGGGACAGGTATTCCAATAGTAGTTTTTTTAAAAAAACTATTAAGCGATTTATACTGCTTCATTTTAGTTTGTGAGGGATCATTCCGAAACTCCAAATCTATAAATAATGAAATTTTGAAAACACTAAAAATTTTTTTTCTAACTAACCTCACTTTTATGATGAATGTTTTCAAGTTTATGCATTTTAGATAAAGGTATGTAGCATTTTGGTTTTCACATATTGTTTCACCCTCTTCCCCTTCCCTCTGCCTCAGATGGTATCCACAGAAACCTGATCATTATTTGTTTCTATAAATTAACAAATCATTTGCGTTGATCTTCTGTATTCTCTGAAATTTCCTTTTATACAAAATGTTTTTATGGGCTTAGAATTATTTTTGTATTTCATTTTATTCTGTAATCATACCTCAATTTATAAGCGAGGTGTTTGAAACCAACCTGGGCAACATAGCAAGACCTCATCTCTAAAAAAAAAAATAGTGATAAGTGATGGCAGTTGCCTGTACTCCCAGCTACTTGGGAAGCTGAGGCAGGAGAATGGCTTGAACCCAGGAGTTTGAGGCTGCAACAAGCTATGATTTTGCCACTATATTACACCCTTGATGGTAGAGCAAGACCCTGTCCCTAATAAATAAATAAATAAATGCTAAGTGTGCCAAATTTGAAATAATATTTAATGTAGGGAAATCATGTTTATGGTAGAGTAAGTAAATGTGCAACTCTGTAGTACTAGTAATCAATTATGATTTTTAAAGTACTGTCAATGAGTACTTGGTTCCTTTTATTTTTATTTTTTTGAGACAGGGACTCACTTTGTCACCCAGGCCTGGAATGTACTGGCACAATCTCAGCTCACTGCAGTCTCCAACTCCCAGGCTCAAGAGATCCTCCTATCTCAGCCCCCCAAGTAGCTGGGACTACACGCATGAGCCTAGCTTTTTGTTGTTGTTGTTGTTGTTGTTGAGACAGGGTTTCACCATGTTGTCCAGGCTGGTCTTGAACTCCTGAACTCAAGCAATCTACCCTCCTTGGCCTCCCAAAGTGTGCTGGGATTACCAGTGTGAGCCACCACACCTGGTCTACTTGGTTCTTTTTAAACTACACAAAGCTGAAAATTTTATAAACTATTTTGGAGCTCAGGATAGGATAAAGAACTGAATTCTAGAGTTCTCTGGAAGTGAGTAAAAGTTGTGATAGTGATTAGAATATGTCCATTATAATTTAGAGGAATTTAGGTGGGGATTTGGGATAAAATGATACCTTAATGTTATTATTTCAAATTGACTTTTGTAAATATCACTAAGATATAGACAGTACATACACACCGCAAAATCTTTAGGCACAAATACAATAATCTTTAAAAACCATTCTATTTTTTTTCCTCAGTTCGACCAGAGTTTACTGATACTTTAGCAATCAAACAGGGATGGCATCCTATTCTTGAAAAAATAACTGCAGAAAAACCTGTGGCCAACAATACCTATATTACAGAAGGGAGTAATTTTTTGATCATAACTGGACCAAACATGAGTGGAAAATCCACATATTTAAAACAGATTGCTCTTTGTCAGATTATGGCCCAGATTGGTAAGTTATGGCTTTATTTATAGTGACCACTTTGACACTTAAGTTTAATTGGATCCCATTTGTCTATTTTGGTTTTTGTTGCCATTGCTTTTGGTGTTTTAGTCATGAAATCCTTGTTTATGCCGATGTTCTGAATTATATTGCCTAGGTTTTCTTCTGGGGTTTTTATAGTGCTAGGTCTTATGTTTAAATCTTTAATCCATCTGGAGTTAAATTTTGTATAAGGTGTAAGGAAGGGATCCAGTTTCAGCCAACTTCCGTTTTATAAAAATAGTTTTACAGTTGATTCTTTTATTTTTCCAATTTTAGTTTGTATAAATGATGTCTTATACAAACATCATTTACAGAAAGTGATAATTCTGCCTTTTTATTTCCAGTGTTTTTGCTTTCCATTTCTTTTTCTCTAATTGTTTTGACTAAGACTCTCAGAAGAATATTAAACAATTATGGTAAGTTAGTGGGCATACCTGCATTGATCCTGACTTAAATGGGAATGTGTCTGATGTTCTATTATTAAGCATCAGCTGAATTGATTTATATCATTGTATTCATGATGTATCCATTCTTATTGTTTGAGTTATTATAATTATTATTAATCAAGGTGAAATGTTGAATATTGTTAAATGCTGTTGCTGGCAACTTTGAAGATGCTCATGTAATGTTTCTTAATAAAGTGAATTGTATCAGTAGGTTTCTTAATATTGAAACCTATCTTCATTCTTCATATGAACTTATTTTATGTGTTAAATAATTCTGCTCTTCTGTTGATAATTTCCATTGTCTAATATTTTAGTTAGAATTTTTACATTGATATTTATACACAATTAGACTATATCTTTTTGTGTGCTTTTTAATGTTTTTGTTAATGTTATGCTAGCTTCATGGAAATAATTTAAAATTTTTCATTTTTTTTCTTTAAGCTCTAGAACAGTTTAAATAACATTGGCACTATCTATTCCTTAGATATTTGTTAGAATTTATTTCTGAAATAACATGGGTTCTTTGCTTTTGGGGAAGATAAATTAAACCATATACTCATTATCTTCTTTATTTTAATTTATATGTGTATGTTTTCTATCTTGATGGATGTCTCTTGGCCACGTTCAGATACCATCTCACTCCAGTTAGAATGGTGCTCATTAAAAAATCTGGAGACAACAGATGCTGGAGAGGATGTGGAAAAATAGGAATGCTTTTACACTGTTGATGGGAGTATAAATTAGTTCAAGCATTGTGGAAGACAGCATGGCAATTCCTTAAGGATTTAGAAATAGAAATACCATTTGACCCAGCAATCCCATTACTGGGTATATACCCAAAGAATTATAAATCACTCTATTATAAAGACGCATATGTTTATTGTGGCACTTTTTACAATAGCAAACACTTGGAACCAACCCAAATGCCCATCAATGATAGATTGGATAAAGAAAATGTGGCACATATGCACCATGGAATACATGTAGCCATAAAAAAGGATGAGTTATATAACTCAATCAAGACCAAAACAAAGTGATGAGTTCATGTTCTTTGCAGGAATATGATTGAAGCTGGAAACCATCATTCTCAGCCAACTGACCCAAGAACAGAAAACCAAACACCTTATGTTCTCACTCATAAGTGGGTGTTGAACAATGAGAACACATGGACACAGGGAGGGGAACATCACATACCAGGGCCTGTTGTGGGTGTGGAGGGACTAGGGGAGGGATAGCAGGAGGTGAGGGGGTTAGGGAGGGATAACATTAGGAGAAATACCTAATGTAGATGACGGGATTATTTTTTAAAAAGTAAACATAAAAAAGAAAAATTTATTGAGCCCAAGACATTAGTAGTGTCATGGGTAAGAAACCTTGGTCTAATGTAATGAATTGTAAGGGGAACAAAGCAATAATAATGTTGGTGATACAGTACAAATTCACCCTTAGTGCTGGGAAATGAAATCAGAGATTAATGAGTTAATGAAGAGTAAATATTTTCTTGATTTTGTAGGTTTATTTGGAATTAAAAGGACATCTTAGCTAATTTCCCTCCCCTTATAAGAATACTTTCTAATTCATGTAAGACATAATACTTTTATTTGAATAGCTATGAGGAGCTCTGGTTTTTAAAAAACAGGCTGTCCCATTGCTGAACAGCCTTAGCTGTTAGAGTATTCATTACATTGAACTGAAACCTCATTTCTATAATTTCAATTCATTAGTCCTTACTCTTCTATGTACTACAGAATAGTCTAGTATTTTTCCCAATATTAGCTCTTCAAGTACTTGAAGATAATTATTATACTTCTCTTGTCAATGGCCATCTTAAACCTCTGAAACATAGATAATATTTCATATAGTCTAACCATAAGATACCAGTGGGACTTGAAAGTCATGGAAGTTAGGAACATAGACTTTGAAGGCAGATCTTGCTTGTCTAGTTACTAGCTACATCATCTTAGGCAAATTACTTAACCTCATTAAGCCTTGGTTTTCCTATCTGAAAATGAAAACTACAGTAACACCCACTTCTAATAATTTTTATAAGGACTGAGGTAACATAAATAAAATGCTACGGATTTTAGGGGAAAGTATGAAAAAGAAGGAGACTTCCCAGGCAGAGGTAAGAGTATGTGCTAAAACACAGCAAAAAAAAAAAATGATGTGCCCAAGCAACAACAAAAAAAATAGTACAGAGGCTTTGTGCTTCCTTTGTGTTGTAGAGTAAAGACTAACTGTGAGAAATAGCAGAGTATAAAGCTGGAGAGATGGGCACAGTTAGGTCATGGAGGGCTTTAGGTATTTACCTGAGGAGATTGAGTACAGATCCAGTAATCTGTAGGGAGCTATTGAAGAAATTTAGATAATCCTAGCACTTTGGGAGGCCGACACAGGCGAATCACGAGGTCAAAAGAAAATACAAAAATTATCTGGGTGTGGTGGCACGCGCCTGTAGTCCCAGCTACTCGGGAGGCCGAGGCAGGAGAATTGCTTGAACCTGGGAGGCGGAGATTGCAGTGAGCCAAGATTGCACCACTGCACTCCATCCTGGTGCCTAGCGACAGAGCAAGACTCTGTCTCAAACAAAAGAAATTTAGTAAGAGAATGGCATGATCAGATTTGACTTTTAGATAAATCAGTCTAGCTCAAGCATAGATGAGAGCTAAACTAGAAGCAAAAATACCAGCCAGGAGGCTTCTGTAATAATCTAAATAAGAAAGGTTGGGAACCTTTTTGATGGAGGTTAAAAGAGCAGAGAAAATACAAACATATACCACTTAATAATATATGTATTACCTTCACATTTTTATTTTCTTGGAAATTCCATAAGATAGCTGTATTTAAGAACTCACTAAGTTCTGCTTTCCGAGGACAGGGCCCATGTCTGTTTATTTACCCTAACACAGAAGGGCTTCAATAAATATTTATTAAATTTCTATAAAATTAGGAAAGTCAGGCTCAAAGACTTCCACAGGATCACCCAGGATCAATCCTTTACCTGAGTTTTCCCCATTTGCCCCATTATACTGTTTGATTCTGTGTCCCCACTCAAACCTCTTGAATTATAATCCCTACATGTTGAGGGAGGGACCTGGTGGGAGGTGATTGGATCATGGGGGCATTTTCCCCCATGCTGTTCCTGTGATAGTGAGTTGTCACAAGACCTGATGGTTTAAAAGTGTTTGGCAGTTCCCTCCTTGCTCTCTCTCTATCCTGCTCCCATATGAAGAAGGTCCTTGCTTCCCCTTTACCTTCCACCATGATTGTAAGTTTCCTGAGGCCTCACCAGCCATGTAGCACTGTGAGTTAATTAAACTTCCTTCATTTATAAATTACCCAATCTCTGGGAGTTCTTTTTAATGGGGTGAAGAAGCAAACTAATACACCCCTGTAGCTAATATTGAATGTTCACTATGCCCATCACTGGTCTATATACCTTGCATGATAATACACATTTCACATCTTCCTGGAAACTCATAGTACATGTATCATAATATATGTACTGATTATATGGTTAATACTTATAAAAATATGATAAAGATTATTAACTCCATGTAAAAGATGAGTAAGTCCAAGTATTGAGAAGGAATTTGTCCATAATCATATAGTTTGTAAGAGGCAGCACAAGGATTCAAACCCATACAGCCTGACAAATAATCTTTGCTCTAAATTAGCAAATTGTCCCCACCCTCCTCCAGAATCTTAAGAAGGTGGCAGTTCATTTCTGTTATCTTGGAAATGGACAGTCTGTTTCTGTTTTTGTTTTGAGCCAGATTCGGATTCAGATTCTGGCTCTATCACTTCATTGTTTATTTTCAGCAAGCATCATGAGATTATGTGTCAGGAGCCATTTTAAGTTCATAATTTATGCTTTTTTCTTTCTTTCTTTTTTTTATCAGCCCTGCATAATTTATGCTTTTAGGTAAATAAACAAAAAAATAGAGTAGAATGGAGGAGATACATCTTTCTCATTTTGTGATCCTGAGCCTCCACTTTTTCATCTGTAAAATGACAAAAATAATACCCAGTTTAATAGGTTATTTTGAAAATTAGGAAGAGTGGATATAAAATACCTAGTATGTAGAATGTTAGGTGCAGTCATTATAATTACTACTGTTAAGATTATTACTTTTATTTTCATTAGTATTAGCCTGACTTTTACTTTTGTTTTTTGCTAGTCCTTATTCCTCAGACTTAGGCCCTATTCTTTATCCTTATTTTGTTTTTAATATTGGAGCATTCTGGCTTTGTTTTTTTGCTCCTATTATTTCACCATTTTATATATACAGAATTCTGTATATGTGGTACTTTTCCCATTAAACTATTTGTATGTTTTATCTTCTTATAATATTAGAATGCCTTTTAGATTTTATTCTATATTGGGATGGATGCATTAATCAGATTTATTTATTTTCAAAAAATGAATATTTTAGTTGAGTTAGCACAATAGCTTCTTGGCAGGAACAGCCTTGTGGGTGAAAATTCACTTTTTTTCTTTTTATTAACTGTTTTGCTTTTAGTTTGCTTCTAAATGTTTCTTCATGTTTGTAATCACAGATATTTATTTATATATTTTTATAATGATTTAATTAACTTCAGCTTTATAGGCATTTTCTTCATATTTTCATATTTCTTTTTTAAAAATTTATTTTTGACATATAATTGCACACATTTAAGACATACATAGTGATGTTTCAATACATACCATGTATAATGATTAGATCAGTGTAATTGGCATATTATATTCATAAGCTTTATAAGCATTCCCTTCACATTTTAATATTTTGAATATTATTCAACTAAGTTATTTAAAAATTTATTGAGTTTATAACAGTCTCTTTCTTATGTACTTGAATATCTGCTGTCTCATTTGCACTTCTAGATAACTTTGTGCAGTAGGTAGGGCAACAATTTTTATTTTACATATGAGTAAGATGGAACATGGAAAGTTTAAGTGCAGTCTAAGCTTATATAATAAGGATAGAGCTGGTGCCATGTCTTCTAATGCCATATCTAGTGTTCTTTCTACCATATAATCTTTGTAAATCTGACAAGTGCAAAATGTGATTAGACCTATATTTTATAAATACATTTCAGTTTATCTTGACCTTATGTTTTACAGGATCATATGTTCCAGCAGAATATTCTTCCTTTAGAATTACTAAACAGATTTTTACAAGAATCAGTACTGATGATGATATTGAAACAAATTCATCAACATTTATGAAAGAAATGAAAGAGGTACCCAACAAAACTTTTCTTATGTTAAAAACATTAAATTCTCTCACTAATGATCAGTTATCACATAAAATATTTTTATAGTAAATATGCAGAAGTGTTTATACCCTTTTCTGAGAGCCAGAGGGCAGTCAAAGACAGCCTCCTAATTTCTGTTTTATGTAGAAATAGAAGAGAATGTTTCATTGAAGAATACAGTTTTAAGAGAAAGAGCTAGTGTTACTGAGTAATAAAAGTGTGCTTAAATGTTTTTATAGGGAATATGTAAAAGACTTCAGAAAATGATGACTGGTTCAGTACCATTTTCCATAATATTTATTGTTCCTCATAGGTTTGATTTTAAAACAAAAAATCATTGTGTTAGAAGGCTTTCAAAAATCATTCTTTTCTTTGTCCTTGTAGAATTTTCACTTCTTGTACCAAAGAATCACCTTTTTCTGATTGAGCAAACACTGAGTAGGCTTTAGAACGAAAGGAATTAAGTGTGACTTGTGGGATATCTGTATTAAAAATTATGGGATCCCTGTTTAGTTAGATAGTTTTCTTTAAGTAAACAGGTGGTAAATAAAGTTATCATTTGTCCCACAATTTATATAATTATTTATTGTGTATTGAATATAAGAGAGCATAGTAATATACTAGGCACTTAAGGTATATTTTTAAATGGTCCTAGCCCTCAAAAAGCTTAGTCTCCTAGAAAGATAAAATATCCATCAAAGTTACTATTGTGTCAAAGTATAATAAAGGTAAAATTTCGTTTTTGAGAAAGGTTAATAATCTTCAGTGGAAAAGAGCACTTCTGTCAATTTAAGACTTGGTCTACATTGGTTATGTATTTAAATTTATTTGTTAAACCAATAGTCAAGACTTAGGCACTTTTTCTTAATTTTTTTTAACTTCATCTTTACTGGATATAAAGTAATACTTAAATAAATTTGAGAGATGGTTTTGGATATTTTATAACAGTAATTGATTAGTCATTTGTCGAGAAGAAAATGACCATCTTTGTGCTTAGTTTAAACCTTTATTTAATTGCTTTATTTTACTGTATCTAAAGCATCAATATTTTAGATAATGGTTATTTACTCTATGTTGACTCATATATATATTCAAATGTCTATTTATGTACATATCAACTATTCTATTGGAATTATTAGTGATGAGATTTTTAGAAAAGAAAACAATGTGTTGTTTTCTGCTCAGCAGGATGTCGCTATAAAAATACATTTCAGATAAACTTATAAAGAGACTGGATTTCTCTTCATGATAGTGACAGCTATTTGGTTACAATGAATATATGTTAAAATTATATATTTCAGATAGCATATATTCTACATAATGCTAATGACAAATCACTCATATTAATTGATGAACTTGGCAGAGGTACTAATACAGAAGAAGGTATTGGCATTTGTTATGCTGTTTGTGAATATCTACTGAGCTTAAAGGTATTGTTTTATTTTAAATATGTTAATTTTGAGTCCTTTTATGTATTCTGTTATTATTATTGAATTTTACGGACACCCACAAATAGCTTTTAAAGCAATTTAGATAGTCAACACATGTAATATTTATATTTTTATTACTTCATTTCCAATGAAAGTGGGAATCATTAGTTTGATAACCATGATATAGATAAGGAAAAGATGAAATCAAGAAATACAGGCCGGGCACGGTGGCTCACGCCTATAATCCCAGCACTTTGGGAGGCCGAGTCAGGTGGATCACAAGGTCAAGAGATGGAGACCATCCTGGTCAACATGGTGAAACCCTGTCTCTACTAAAAATACAAAAAATTAGCTGGGCATGGTGGCGCGTGCCTGTAATCCCAGCTACTCAGGAGGCTGAGGGGGGAAAATTGCTTGAACCCAGGAGGCGGAGGTTGTGGTGAGCCCACATCAGCTTGAACTCAGGAGGTGGAGGTTGCGGTGAGCCGAGATTGCGCCATTTCACTCCAGCCTGGGTAGCAAGAGTGAAACTCCATCTTTTTTTTTTTTTTTTGGAACTCCATCTCAAAAAAAAAAAAAAGAAAAATTAGTCAGTTGGCTTTAACTTCGTAAAATTAAGTAGCAAAATATGAAGGTCTTTCAGTAATTGTCTCCATGTGCAATAATGTTGACGATGATGTTACAACAGGAAGGAAAGCACTAGGCATCTCAGGTAACTTTACAGACAATCTGTTTCACCTACCTAACTAAAATTTTATCCTTTAAATAGTTTTCCACAAATCAACTATGTAGAACATTGATTTTTGCTCTATTAAATTAATTTATAGAATATCTTTTTAAATGATCACTCACAGTATATACAGATATGAATAAAACATAAATAAAAATACTTTTTTAAATTTAATATACCTTAAAATGTCCTAAGATGAAGTTATTTCATCTTATTCATTTAATGAAATGAATTTCATATTCATTTAATGAATTAACTTCATCTTAGGAACATTTTAAGGTATATTAAATAAGAAATATATTATTAAATAAATATATATTAAATAAATATATTTATGGACCTTAAATGTAAGTCCATAATTATTTATTTTTTTTATTTAATTTATTTTTTGGGGGGACAGGGTCTCACTCTCTTGCCCATGCTGGACTGCAGTGGCACAATCTTGGCTCACTGCAACCTCTATCTTTCAGGCTCAAGCGATCCTCCTGCCTCAGCCTCCTGAGTAGCTGAGACTACAGGCATGCACCACCACACCTAGCTAATTTTTGTATTTTTAGCAGAGATGGGGTTTCACCATGTTACCCAGGCTGATCTTGAACTCCTAGCGTCAAGTGATCCACTCACCTCAGCCTTTCAAAGTACTGTGCTTACAGGCTGAGTTGTCATGCCCAGCTCATAATGATTTATTATATAGAATGAGAAAAATCCATTTTATACTTAAAGGTATGTGATAAATCAAATGTAATGTTAATAAATAATATTAGTCTTTGTAATTTTTAATGTATCAGTTATAATTTCTCATAAATAAAGTACATGTCTTATGATTAAAAGCTAATTAGTACCTATGATGGTTAATTTTACCTGTCAGTTTGACTGGGCCACAGAGTGTCCAGACATTTGGTCAAACATTGTTCTGGGTATGTCTGTGAGTGTGTTTCTGGATGAGATTAGAATTGGTAGACTGAGTAAAGACGATTGCCCTGCCTAATGTGGGTGGGTCCCACTCAATAAATGCAAAGCCTGAATAGAGCAAAAAGCCTTCCAAAGAGTAAGAGGAAACTCCTCCTTCCAGGCTGCCTTCAATATGGAAGATCTATTCTTTACTGCCTTCAGACTCAAACTGAAGCATTGGCTTTTTCTGAGTCTGGAACCTTACAGCTTTGTACTGGAGTTATACCATTGGCTTTCCTGGACCTCTAGCTAGTCTACTTTAGATCTCGGTACTTGTTAACCTTCATAAATCACATGAGCCAGCATCTTTTTTTTTTTTTTGAGATGGAGTTTCGCTGTTGTTATCCAGACTGGAGTGCAATGGAACCATCTCGGCTCACCGCAACCTCCGCTTTCTGGGTTCAAGCAATTCTCCTGCCTCAGCCTCCCAAGTAGCTGGGACTACAGGCGCGCACCACCATGCCCAGCTAATTTTTGTATTTTTAGTAAAGACGGGGTTTCACCTTGTTGACCAAGATGGTCTCGATCTCTTGACCTTGTGATCCACCCGCCTCAGCCTCCCAAAGTGCTGGGATTATAGGCGTGAGCCACCACGCCTGGCCAAGCCAGCTTCTTATAATGAATCTCTTCTCTCTCTCTCTCTCTCTCTCTCTCTCTCTCTCTGTCCTCTTTCTCCAGAGAATTCTAATACAAATCTTGGTTCTGGTATGATCTGACAATAGTGATAAGTAAAATATCACTATCATATGCTCTTAATTAACTGCTTGTAAGCAGCAGAGATCCACATGATTTTATATATGATACTTCCAAACATTTTTGGCAAACTAACGAATACAATGAAATTGGCTGGTTGCTCCTAGTGTCACTATACAAAGTTGGAAAAGCAAAGGATGAACTCGAGGATTCAAATTGCCAGCTCAGGCCCCCACCAGAGGGACTTCCAGGCACTGCCTGTCAGATATCTAGTGAGGACCTGTCTGTCACTACCAGGAAGAACCAGGCATCACCTGTGTCCCTAGATTACAGCAGGGGGTTTGTAAGAAGGGCATGGGTTCTTAACCTGAGATCCATGGATCACCAGGGCTGCGTGAATCTGAAAACTTGAGTCCAGGAACTTCAACTTAGATGGAAAAAAAAGCCTCTTTTGGTCACTAACCTCTACTCGAAATTGAACCTTTTCTCCCAGGTGAATGCAGGCAAGGAAGCACACCAGGGTTAGAAGGAACTGTGCATTCCCTGGGTAGAAACGACAGATGTTTTCCAGTTCCATGACAGTGACTGTAGATGCCAGGAAATGTGCACCTTCTCACTGCTTCCAAAAGTGGGACTTATTAGTCTTGCTGCTTTTTAATGCATTACTTAATGTGTTAACTTAGAAGCATGTGTATTACTTATCTTTTTAACTAAAAAATTTTAAATAACAAAAAAGCACCAACTGCCAGCTTATTGCCGCATAAATGACTTGAAAGCACCCAAATGTGCTCTGAAGGAAATCCTTATCTCCTATAGTCACAGGGCTCAGATTGCTGAAAATCAAACCCGGAATCTAATTCTATGCCAGAATTACAAAGCAAGTTGAACTTCCAGCCTTATAGAATCTACTGTTAAAGTACGGCATTAGTTAGGAAGGAATGGGAGACTTCCAGTTGGAATAGGGATGTGTGGGGAGACTCTGATGAACCTGGGGACATTTAGGCCCTGAATTTTGATGAGTCATCTTTGCCAGTAGAAGAGACCACTTCACCCCATCTGAGGGGATTAACCTAGCATTACCTGAGGTAACTGTAATGGCATCCCCTGAGACAGTTGCCATACCAGGCAATTCTGAGTCTCCTCAGGACCCACTTCCACCACATTTCTTTGCTTCTGGACCTGTAACTAGACTGGTTAGAATCTTAGAAGATCTCTAAAGGTGAGGTACAAAATGTGACTATAAGGAGGTACATTACATTCTAAAAGAACTACTTGAATTTTATACTTTATACAGACAGAAATCTAGGGAACATGTGTGGGAATGTGTTCTAAGGATGTGGCATTAAGTGTAGGAGGAATATAAAGTTGAATTAGGCCGAAGTTACTGATAGGGGCTTACTAAGCAGGGTATGCATTTAATGTTGCACCTCAAATTGTTAGAAAGGGATCTAACAGTTTGATTGAGTGGCTATAAAACAGACCAAAATGTGGCCCACTATGAATGAGTTGCCTTGGTTTAATGTAGAGGAAGGGATTCAAAGCTTAGGGAGTTTGGAATGTTAGAGTGGGTTTGTCATTTAAGATCACTTACCAATCCTGGGAGAGTCCAGATGACATACCTTTTACTGTGACTGTGAGAAATAAATTTGTGAGAGGTGCCCTGGTAGCCTTGAAGTGCTCTGTTATCACTCTTCTATGTAGTCCAGACCTTACAGTGGGAACTGCAGGAACTGAATTGGAAAACCCAAATGCAATAGGAATGATTGGATCCCAAGGTGGTAGAGGCATAGTTGCGGCACTCAACCACCAAAGGCAAGGTGCACAGGTTACTGTAATGGGAAGCAGAGTCAAAGCAGCAATCAGAATAATCTGACTTACACAGACCTATGGCATTGGACAGGAGGGCTACTAAATTCTACTTGATCTGAATAAGCATAAAACTTCTAGGTCAAGTGAACAAAAATCTAACCTGAATAAAAAACAGTGTCATGACCCCTCTATCAACTTCCAGATTTGAGCCAGTTTATAGATCCAGAGTCCTTGAATAAAAGGGAAGCTGGACTGCCTTAAAGAAGGATCCCTGTTCACTGCCAAAAATTTATACTGTCAATCTTTTTCCCAGCATTTCCCAAAAGGACCTACAGGCTTTTACCAGCATATAAAGGGTAACAGTGTGTGGGGAAAAGGAAATAATCAGATCTGGACATGGATTCTGAACTGACTAGCTTCAGTCAGAGTAGGGGGCTTCTGAAAGTCAGGTAATTAGTGGAGTTTTAGCTTAGGTCCATCTCACAGTGGGTCCAATGGGTTACAAACCCATCTTGTGGTTATTTTCCAGTTCTGGAATGCATAATTAGATATACTTAGCAGCTAGAAAAATCCCACATGGTTCTCTTCCTTATTCAGTGAGAGTTATTATGTTAGAAAAGGCCAAATGGAAGTCACTAGAACTGCCCTCCTCTACCTAAGGAAATAGTAAACCAAACACAAGCCACATTCTTGGAATTGCAGAGAGTAGTGGTACCATCAAAGACTTGAAGGATGCGAGGGGGTGGTGATTTCTATTATATCCAAACTCAGTTAGTTAGCCTATTTGGCCCGTATAGATGAAAGATAGAACTTGGAG